GTTCAGTTCAGCAGCAGAGAGGCGGTTGGTTCAACTGAGGTAGATCCGGCGGCAATGATGGAGAAGATCCTGCGAAGATCCGGCGAGGAGAAGAAGAACCGGCAAAGCTATAGACAGCGGTTCGGCAGGCTCCGGCGACGGCTGACAGCGAAGCAGATCCGGCGTGAGCGATGGACGGTGATTTTGATCCGGCAACGGCGATGCGGCTTGTGATGGCGGTGTCTTGTGACGGCTGCGGCTTGTGACGGCAGTAACTTGTGATGGCAACATCAGAGAAAGAATATGAGAATCAAAACTCAATTCAATAATATTCACGATGGTGTTACATTTAATTTATAGAGTAATATCTAGCTAAAATAGGTAACTAAATATACAATAATCGGGAAACTAATTACCTACCAATTAATCCTAAATTAAGGAGAAAATAATTCAATTCTACAGCTGTACAATAGGTAAAATCTCAACATTGGAAAGTGAACCATTAGATCGGATGAATATTAGTGTTTTTAACATTTTTGCTCCTGCTCTCAAGCGTTTAAAATTTATAAATTTAAATTATTGTACGTATAAGCTTGTGGTTAATGCACCGAACCTTCAAGATCTTGAATATAAAGGCTATGTAGCAAAAGGTTATTCAGTGAATAGATTCCATGCCCTTGTCAACGCCACCGTTACTTTATATCAAACTGGAAACCCTGTTCACAATGCTCGATCGGTGTTCAAGAAGGATTCTTTGTCAGTATCAGATCAGAGTATAGTCATTCTCCTCTTAGGGTATTTAATGAAATAATTGTCACATTAATCGATAACAAAAATTGATCGGTAAAATTTATTTTTTTTCTCCATAAAAGATCAATTAGAAACATCTTAAAAAAAAACATGGAATTGTAGGAAACAAATAATTAAGATTAGAACTGAAAGGCACACTATAACAATTGGGGCTTGGCCAAAATTGGTGCTACAGGTTTATGTTACGCAGACAATTTTATTTTTTTTCTCCAACTAACTATAGTAACACAACAGGTCAAAAATATTATAATGTAACAACATTGCATTAATTTATTTTCATGACTTGTTTATGTTTTTTGTCAACTTATTAATGAAAACACAAAACAGAAAACGATTAACAAACATGCTGTAGTATTATTTCCCACACATTGATCTTTAGACAAGATTAATCCCATTATCTTCCAAGTAGAATCGAGACTGAGAGTGATATAAGCTCTTTTTTTTTTTTTGGTAAGAATGATAAAAGTTTTTACTAAGAGAAATTATTTAATGGTCTTAGATCATTTGATAGTTGGTGGATCGTTGTAAAGATTTTTTTTGTAATAAATAATATACTACTGTATGGCTATTTTTTTAATCCAATAATCAGAACTGAAAATAATTAAACTACATACTTGATGGACAAATAAACTTTTTTGTATGTAGTAGGTAGGAGAGCATTTTCACTTGCATTGTTTAGTTTACAAATCATTACTCGGATTCGAAATTTACAGCCATAAATTTAAAAGACTTGTAGGTGAAAAGGTTTCGCTAATCGGGTAATTTATAAAAAAAGAGAATATAATCTAATGCATTAAGTGTCAAGAATATAATTCTAAGGGAGTTTAATTGTTGAAATCCCCGTCGAAACAATGTTCATTTCCACGATATAATAAATGAGACTCGCGTTGAGTCACACTTCACTAGATTGTGGATAGGCACTGTTCGGTCGAGGAACCCAACTCTATACAAATTATATGAGACTTTAAATTTCTGTTTAGGATGAAAGTTCCTCCTATTTTCAATAAATACATCATTCGCAACCTTAATTGATATTTATTCCAAGTCTCTCAAGTCAAGTTTGTAGGAAAAATGATTGAGTTGGAACTTAAACATGCTTCTTCCTCCCTTCTCTCTCTCTCTCTCTCTCTTCGTCTTTGTACTTTGTAAGAGCATTTATATATAATTACTAAAAAATATACATGCAAAATTAAAATAACAAAAAAAAGTAGTTGCGTTGAGTAAAACATTGCTCTACTACATCGGTCCATCTCTGTTCACATCAAAAGGCAAACATAAAAATATTAATAATAATAAAAAATCATCATAGGAAGACGTACTACAATTTTTAAGACAGCTCAAAAGTATAGAAATAACTCAAAACATAAGCCATTGGGTTTTCGTTGGATTCTTTTGTGCGAAGAGAGACAATGAGTTGATATTGTTCTCTTGGGGGAATAGGGTGGAGAACCAAAGTTGTTTCTTTTTTTTTTTTTTTAATCTACAGGGTAAAAAAATAAAAAAACAAATATTCAGGGGCATGTGTCCAGGGTGGCACATGTGGGGATGACACAGTACCCGCAAAATACCTATCCCGTCGGGTATCAGCCCCACCCCACTCCGTTTAAAATGGTTATGAGAGTGCTTAAATTGTCATGGAGCGAGAATAGGGGTTAAGTTTGAAAACTCCCATAGTTAGGAGGCGGGGATGGGGAAAAGTCGCACTGCCGCCTTTCTATTGATAAATTATAATTTTTGTCCTTATACTTTATTTTTTATTCAATAATATTAGGTATGTATTAGGGGTGGGCAAATAATCCGTGAATCTGATTCGATCTGTTCTGATCCGTGCGGATCGGATCGGATTACTACACTCACGGATTAGTGGCGAATTCAAAAAAATCAAATCCGTAACTTACGGATTGGATCACGGATTGGGCTGTTAAAAATCCGTGAGTCCGATCAAATCCGATCCATGAAGGTTATATATATATTTTCAAATAATATATTAGTTAATTTAATTAGTTAATGATAATTTAATGTACTCTAAGTAGATATTAGTTAATAGTTATTTAAATATATGAATTAATATTAATAAATTAAAATTTTATGTATTGGGTTAGGGTTAAAAATAATAAATAATAAAAAATAAATAATAAATAATAAATAATATTACTTATAAAAATAATAATAATAATAATAATAATAATGGATAATTTAGATAAAACTCAATCCGTGGATCCGATCCGATCCGTGGGATGACGGATTGGTGGCGGATTAAAATTTTTCTAATCCATTGGGAGCGGATTGGATTAGGATTGATGTCTAATCCGATCCGATCTATGGCCATTGCTAGTATTAACCAAATCCTAATTTATTATTTTCCAATTACTAAATATACTTTTGTATTATTCTTATTTGAGAACTTCTATGTATTATTTTGATGTTCCAACAATAATTTTAATCTTATGTTTTCAATTGAGAAGTTGAAACTTATTTTTAGCATAAGAGAAAAAAAAATTATGACCATATATAGTTGAAAATTTGTTTTATTATTTCCTTTAGTTAGATTCATATTACAATTACAAAAATACTTTACAAAATTTGTTCCCGCTCCGTCACCGTCACGCCTTACTCTGCCCCGTTTAATAAACAATTTTGGAATGGAGATGGGGGGTAGCTAATCTAAACAATGATGGGGATGGAGATGGCATTCCCTGCCCAAATCGTCCCCATTACCATGCCTACCCACTCTGTTTAGTGATTTGACTTTTCACTAATTGATTCCGAGTTCATACCTCTAGTCATGAAATGACTTTCATGACAACATTACTCAATTTAAAATGAGAAAATTTGAAGAAAATTTTATAACAATTGTGCTGGGATGTACATATCTTATTGCAGCTTATAATTCTAAGTCAAAAAAAAAAAAAAAGAGAGAGAGGAAAAAAAAAGAGAAAAAAAAAGGAAAAAAGAAAAAGAAAAAAAGAGGGCTCTCAACATGCTCCCAAAAGTAGTCCATCAAATAAAGAAAAAATAAATTAAAAAAACCTCTTCTGCTTTGTTCGGTAGGTAAGAAAAAAAATTAGATGGAAGGGAGAGAAGAAGTGATGGATTAGACATCCCCATGGAAGAGATTCTATATTTTATTCTTTTTGTTCGGTTAGATAGAAGAGAAGAGAATAAACTTAAAATTTCCTATATTCCTTAAGGATATGTTTGGTTAGCGTCAACTAGCTAGACAGGAAAAGAAACGGAAATTTTTTAAATTGTTTTGTAGTTTGGTTAGCGTAAAAAGGAAAGTTTTTAGGAAAGTGATATTCCCGTAATTGGTTGATTTTCCTCCAAATGTTTCCTCTGTAAAACACGCGAAAATTTCAGTTTCCGCGTGAATGTTGTATCTTTAAATGTTAGTTTTCAATTATACCCTTGTCAGTTATTTCTCCTCTTCCCTTTTCATACTCACAAAAACAACAACTTCTTTTTGATAAATTAGGACTCTTTATTATATTGCAACTTTCTAACTCTTTAAATTAGAGTTTCTAATTAAGTTACAATTTTTTGACTCTTTAAATTAGGACTCTATATATATGCACGCACATATATTTTTATTCATAAAACAATTATTTATATTTTTTATTATGCTTGTTGCATGATGTATATTAGTTAGTATTGAATTCATAAGGATAATCTTGATATATAAATTATTTTCTTTTCACTTTCTTGTTAACCAAACTAATGAAACAACATTTTCCCACAAAAGTTTTACAAAAAAATCATGCTAACCAAATGCATGATAGAAACATAATTTTCTTTTCTTTCACTTCACTTTCTTTTCCTTTCACTTTCCACCATCAATTTTCGGCTAACCAAACGAACCCTTAAGAGAGAAGGAAAAAGAAAGTTTTAATTATTTTTACCATTATATCCAATAATATTGTAATTTACAAGAGATGGTAGTGTAATTTAAAATTTGTATAATATTGGATAGTATTTAATTTAAAATTTCTATAACAGTCCACTTGTCTTCTTTTTTTTCTTCAGCTCATTTTTGGGCGGATAAAAATTCGTAAAGGAGAAAGGATGACTCATTCTTCATATTTTCCTTTTTTTCCTTGTATTATTTCTCTCAGAACAAAGAAAATTTATTTCTTCCTTCTTTTCTATCAAACAGAGCATAGTGTGGGCTTTCATTGTCAGTCCAGACACTTCCATTGCCTTTGTTACGAAAATAAATAAGAAAAAAAAACGCAAGAAAGAGATTATACACACAACAAGAACACACAAAATTTTCTTGATTCATCCAAAATTCAGGGCCTGTCAAGAATTGCAAGAATTTCACTATAATAATAATAAAAGTACCATAAAGTTCTAGGGTAACATAACAAGTGCTAATACCATCAAAATGCCCCATGTGACCCCCGGAGTTGGATCTTGGTGTATATCAAGCTCTACATTACCGGACAACTATGTTCTTCAGGGCGTTGTAGTGTGGGGACATAGTAATGGTCTTGAGGAATAATTTTGTCTTCTAGTATTGGTGCTTCATCAGAATCTAACCCGTCAACTATTCCCGAATTCCCACACCCATCCTGGTAACTTTCGAAATCTCTCTCGTAAACTAGACGGACTCCCCACTTCATCTCCAACTCCGTATATAAAATTTCATCAGAGTCAGGCCATAGTTCTTGTGGAATAGACGGATGAACAGATGCAACAGAGCAGCGGACATCAACTTGGTAGGTGGTTGGGTTCATAGGAACTGGAAAAAAGCACAGCAAGATATGTTCGGAATCAACGTTCGTACCTGCCTGAATCCAACCGGCAACAGAGCTGAGTTCCGCGTTAAGGTATTTGACATCGATTTGAATAAGCAAGTCTTCAGTTCTTTTCTCCGGAAAAGTCTGCGAGTTAGCAGTTGCGAAGTCACAAACACCGCACACGCCAATGCCTATTAATGTCTCGTTCAACAAATCTGGAGGCAGTTCCAGAGATAATTTAGTACCAAAACTCTGATGGCTGAACCACTCTGGAATGTCGCTTCCGGGTAAAAGAATACTAAAAGGAGGAAAAATTATCTCTTCCTACAAAAACATGTCATTCATTCATAAATACTTACGCGTATATACAAACATATATATAGAGAGATAGAAAGAGGGAGAGAAACCTGAAGCATTAGATATTTCAGCCACGTCTCAAACAAATCTTCACTCCAAATTTTGTTCTCCAACAGCTTAAAGCAATTAGTGAATGTGACCCTCTGCAGCCTTCCAAACGTTTCATATGGATCTCCAATGCTTATTAATGATTGGCAATCATCTGCAAATAAATTCTCAATACGCGGTGGAAGCTCTGGTAATGCTTCTAGCCTCTCACAGCCTACTAACACAAGAGTTTGAAGCTTAGAGAGCCGGGCGATGCTTGCAGGTAAACTAACAAAATTGTTTCTGCTTAAATTCATCTCTCTCAAAGAGGATAAACTGTCAAGGTCACTGGGGATCCCTCCTTCCGACAGATTACAATCACTAAGGTCTAGTTTTGTTAAGGAATATAAACCAGCTAAAGAGGGAAGCACCAAACACAGAGAATCTTCACATTTCCTTTGTAAAAACCAAGACGAAACAAGTGAAAAAAATGGCGACTCAGATATTGTTCCCTTGCATCTACCAACAGACAAGACTTTGAGGTCTTTCAAAAGACTAATGGAGGATGGTAGTCGTTTGATAGCAGTTTTACGCACATGAAGCTCCTCCAAACATTTTATATTTCCCAGGTCGTCTGGCAATTCCTCAAATTGTAAGCAGCCAGAGAGATAGAGAGTTTTTAGGCAGCTCAATCTACAAATGGTTCTTGGCAGACTTGCAAGATTTTTGCATTCACTCAAATTTATTGAAGTAAGGCTAGTGAGATGTTCAATTGACGAGGGCAGTTCTTTTATAGCGGTCCTATCCATATAAAGTTCTGATAGACATACCATATCCCCCAAGATTTCTGGAAACTTTTCTAGCTTCAAGCAGCCTGACATATTTAAAGTCTCAAGAGATTCCAAATGAATACTGCTTGGAAATCTCTTGAGATTTGTGCAGTTTCTCAAACTTAAGAAAACAAGCCTTTTGAGACCTCCAAGTGATGGGTGAACCTCCACCAAACTCGTACAATCCTCAAGAATCAGTGTCTCAAGATTTGGGACCTTTGTGAAGTCTGGGGTCCTTTGTAACTTGCGGGAGTGACTAAGATCAATATGTTTCAACTTGTCTAGAAGCTTTTAATTAAAAAAAAGGAAAAATGTTAGAATACATTGGCTCCTGTGAATAAGGTATATTCAATATAGTAAAAACTAAAATTATCATACCTTTATTTCCTTCCAAAGCTGTACAATGCCGCTATAACACATTTTGAGTTCAACAAGATTCTCTGCCTGAAAACTTGTTGGCAGATAACTTGAAGGGTATGCATGCCAATCAAGGCACTTCAACTCATTTGAAAGATGTGCAGGACCACGAGAAAACAACACATTGTGGAATATGAGCAGTCTTAGTTTGTTCATCTTTGTGAAGCTTTCAATACTAAAGGTGATATCTTCCTCTTTGACCAGTTCCAAAACTATGCCATTAACTTTTTCAGTCCCCTAATAATCAATAGCACAAAACATAAGTAAACAACACAATATACTAGGAAATGCCATTAATAAGTAAATATAATGAAATGTCTCTTAGAACAATAAAACCTGAGAATGCCCCCCCCCCCCCCCCCCCCCCCCCCCCCACATCTTACCATATTTTCTGCCAACACAGAACGAATATCCTTTGGACGCCACAACCTGCTACGTTTTCCGGCTTCCTCAGGAGATTCTTGATCAACAATATACCAACCCATATCTTTTATCAAATCATGCATAACAAGCAAATTTTCTGAAACAGTTATGAAAGACTTTTGAATGAGAACACAAATTCCAATCTCTGGGTAGAAGCCACAACTGTCGAGTATTCTTGTTACAAAATCCTTCTTTTTCCTATCGAAGAAGCATGCAATATCAAGGAAGATTTCCTTCTCCATTTCATCCAGTCCGTCAAAACTGATTTTAAGCACTTCAAGAACTTTTGTGTTAGGAATTTTATGCAGCTTCCTCAATGTACATCTCCATTCGTCCATTGTTCTACCAAATAGAAAGGAACCCAAAATTTTAAGAGCTAATGGAAGCCCACTGGTGTAATCTACTATTTGGTTTGCGAGCTCCAAATAATCTTCAGAAGGAAAACTTTGTTTAAAGGCTTTCCAAGAAAGGAGCTGCATAGCTTCACCATAGTTCAATTCCTTCACATTGTATATTTTAGTCACTCCATAAGTAGTTAGCAGATGTTCATCTCTTGTTGTTATGATGATTCTACTCCCAGAACCAAACCCATCATTCTTTCCTAATGCTTCTAGTTGTTCTAGTTGATCCACATCATCAACAACGATAAGAATTCGTCTGTGACATAGCCTGCTCTTTATCATATTTACTCCTCTACCAACAGAAGTAATCTTTATATTACTTCCCTTTAAGATTTCTGAAAGGAGACGCTCTTGTAGAGCTTCCAAACCTTTATTTTTTGAGAATTCTCTAACATTTGCAAGAAAGCATCTATCGTCAAACCGATGGGAGATCCGATCATAAACAGCTTCAGCAATAGTTGTTTTTCCTATGCCCCTCATTCCCCATAGACCTATAGAGCGAACATCATCCAACTCCATATGTAATAATGATTCCACTTTCTCCACACGGGACTCTATCCCAACCAGATCATCAGCAGCAATTGGAGATGAATATTCCAGTTTACTGAAAATATTTTCAATAATTTGTTGGATACATTTTGACTCATGCCTGCAATGTTAGAAAGTTGCCTATATGGTGAGTTGGAATAAATCATAACGAGACAAAGAAAACTAATAGATGTAGTGATAGTTAAATTTTGTTTTTGACACTAAACATATCCAAATTGAAGACAAACTAGATGGTTAAGAGTAAAGAAAAGAACAATAAATCTAAGTTTATTGACACCCATGTAAGGTTGACCTGGTTCTCACTACATATATATCTTACTTTGGTAAGTACATGTTTTACAGGTAACAGAATTACCTCCACTTTGCCCAAATATTGAGCACCTTGTCTTGAAGAACCGAAAAGAATTGTTATATGAAGTTTATGCAAATGTAGGTCTTTCAAACGGTAGTACGAGATAACATACTTTTGGATGGAATAAACAAAAATTGAAGTATATCCAAATGTAGGTCTAGAAATTCAAGTGTTGAATGAAATGGGGCCTTAATATTAGGAATTACGATTGAGTTCACGCAACATTAAGAAACACATGAAGAGAAAAAAACTTGTGTTAGTGATCCCCTTGTATAAGTACAAGGAAAAAGGACAGGTGCAATGCATGTAACTAAAACCTTATAAATACGAAGAAAAAAAAATAATTTTATACCAACTGCATTGCTGGATTTTGAATTGTAACCGTTTGAGAATATTTTGTTAGTCTTGGGCCCAAAGTAATCGTACTTGAGTCCTGAGTAACTATATTCCGTGCCAAAAAGGACTTTTATTACTTGTAATACCCCTAATTTTAAAAGGATAGTCTCGGTATTTATTTACTTGTTTTAATTGTATTTTTTTAATTAATTAATTAATTATTTGACTAATTGCTTATGTGTTTAATTGAATTAGGTATTATTTGATTATTTGATTATGTGTCTATGTATTATTTGTATTTGTCTATGTGTTAATTGTTTAATTAGATTATGTGCTTAAATGGTGTTTTGATAAATTGTAAATTAAATATTTTCTTTTCTTTTATTATTTTATTTTATTTTTCTTTTATGGTTATTGTTAGTAGTAATAGGTCAATCAATTGGGTCCCATGGACTACTTGGATAGGAGGTTGGATGTGTATGGATTATTACCCATGGATAATGTATGTATATATATAGATATATATTATATACATATAAAAAGGAAAGTAATTTATTAATTATTTTTATGGTAACTTGGGTAGTAATATTTAATCTGATATATATGTTTTATATTTAAATAATAAAAATATACATAGATTTGATACGTGTTATGTTTGAAGTTACTTTATAATATTATGGTAACTTAAGTATTATTGGATAATCCATTAATAAATAATGGAATGTGTATAATTTATTTATTTAATAAACATATACATAAATTATATACGTAACATATTTTACTTACCTTTTTAATATATATATAAAAGAGAAAGTAATTTATTAATTACTTTTATAGTAATTTGGGTAGTAATATTTAATCTTATGTATATGTTTATTTAAATAATAAAAATATACATAGATTTGATACGTGTTATGTTTTAAGTTACTTTATAATATTATGGTAACTTAAATATTATTGGATAATCCATTAATAAATAATGGAATGTGTATAATTTATTTATTTAATAAACATATACATAAATTATATACGTAACATATTTTGCAAACTTTTTTAATATTTTTATTTTCATTTTTTTTAGTTGACTTGGATTGGGAAAAGGGTTAGGGTTATTTTATTTAGCCTATAAATATATAGCTATAGGTTGTAAAGGGGGTTAGAAATATTCACGTGATATATACTAGAGAGATAGTGTTAGAGAGGGAAGGAGGAAAATGAAGGAATGAGGAGAAAAAACCCTGTAGAGAGAAGATTAAGGAAGAAGAAGTTTAACTTTCGATCCGAAAGTTTAAGGCAAGTTCTTCTTCTATCTCTTTCCCTTTGATTCGTGTTTCTGTACATGCCTAGGAAATTCCAGGATTTATTAAATACATAAAATTAAATAATTATGCATGTTTAATTGGGTTAGAACATAGGTTTTATGAAATTGGTTCATATCTGTTCTTGTGTTATGAATTGATAAAATGCATGATTTTGATTTGATTTCTTATGTGAATTTTTACATGTTTAAATTATGTATTTTTCATATCTGTGGAATGATGGAACGTAGAAACATGCCTAAGATTCCTGAACATTAAATAGGGACTAGGTTTGGGTTTTAATAAATTTAAATAGACTCAATCATAATGATGCTTGCTATTTGAATGTTTTAAACAAACGAATGGATTTAATCTTTTAAAATATTTTAGCAATTGAGATTAAATGTGTAGGATGAATTGAATATAGAGAATCCTTATTTAACGGTATAATAAAATATCATCATGTATAAGATTCAGTTTGTGTAGGACATATGATATAGGAAGTTTAAAGAAATAATAAGTCATTCCTATTATGTGATAACTTGATATCATATTTATCATAGTTATTTATGGAATGTTTGATGTATTTCCTTAATTGTTACATCAATTGTTGGATTGTGTGGTTTAATGCACCTGTATGGGACGGTGGCATTCTAGGGATGGATTAACTTATCAGTTAAGTCCTACCTATTTTATATAAGGGAATGGATTAACAAAAATGTTAAGTCCTACTTATATTTAAGTCAGGTCAGCTGAACAAGTTGAATGACTTATGGAGGATTAATTTATTATATAAAGGAATGGATTAACTAAAATGTTAAGTCCTACTTATATTCAAGTCAGGTTAGCTGAACAAGTTGAATGACTTATGGAGGATTAATTTATACTGGATAGGATGGTTACTAGATTATATATATATAAGTATGGTGCCATGATATGAGTTTGAGTCTCAGGATCAATGGTTAGGGCGCGTATATCGCCAGGAATGTGTAGCTAGATATAGTGTAGTTGTGTACCCTGGTAGGTCTAGGTACTCATGCCCACTATATGTGCGTTTTGTATGTTGCCTACTATTCAGGTTGAAACAACTCTATAGTCTAGTGAGGTTCCTTTAGTGTGTATATATATATATACGGACTACTAGTTACTGTTGGATTGACTAGGATGTATACGTGTATCGGTTCTCTGCTTGGACTGTAGTAGAGTAGAACTCGTTTGTGGGCCTGACCCACCATTATTTTTCAGGTGTTCGTCACGAGTAGAGGTTGTTCGTGCTGAGCAGGGATCAGTCTACTTCATTCTTCCGATGTTACACAGGGGTTCCTTTATGATTCAGTTTCCTGTTTTAGATTACTGTCATTTGTTTAGTTTGGATTTTCTAGGGGTCCACACAGTATGGATTACCGAGTTGTATTTTGGAGGATCAGTTGTATCAGAAGAGTTTATTAATTAATGGAAATATATTATGAGGTTTATTATTAGATTATCATTTTAGTTTCTTGTCAGCATTTTATTTATTCTTCTTTATTCTTTTGTACTTTGTGTTCATTTATTATCAATTTATTTTGATATCCTCGGGTATTCGGGCGTGGGCCTGGCCAACCCGCATTCGGAAATTCGAGGGTATCACATTACTTGTTCACCAAGCTAAGTTATTATATAAATAGAGGTGAAGTTATGGGAGAAGGCAGAAAAGAAAAAAGAATGGATGAGTGAGTGAATGAGAAGAGAGTGGTCAGAAAGGGGACTGCTAGGATTCTAGTAATGTGTTGGCAAATTTCGTATAGCAAAACTCACTCAATTAATTACAATAATTATATCTTTAGCGAGTGAATTAGAAATAGGTATTTAAATGGAATTTAGTGTGAAGACTACACTTCATGAAGAATATTACATCAAAAGGACAAAAAGCCCAAAGATCGTCTACAAATGTCAAAGACGACATCTTCTCAAGTCTAAGGTTAAAAATGTAAGACGCATACTTGTTATCATCTTCATGCATACATATTGAAAGTTGCATCTAGAACCTAGGTACCTTTATAGGTGTTTTTATATCTTTTATAAAGAAAACGTGTTTTACATATACTTATATAATATTTTTGTTAAGATTAAGATGTGGACCCAAAGGCTTTGACCTAAGGGCAATCTAATAATTTTGATGATTACAAACCATTAATGCTGCATTTGGTGTGCAGGAATGGAATGGAATGAAATGTCTATTCCAACCATTCTTTTGTTTAGCATGCAATTTAAAGTGGGAATGGCCATTCTATTGGAATGAAAATCCAGTTCTGGGAATGAAAATCCATTCTACAACTAAATCTGTGGAATCCATTCTCAAGTAATTTTTTTTAAAAAATCATCTTCCTAAAAAAATCTTCATGTTCCAAGTCCAATAATCATCACTATCTTCCACCACAACAACAACCACAACCACCTTCACCTTTCACCACCACTACCACCGTCTTCCACCACCGCCACCGACTTTCACCACCACTCACCGCTTTCCACCATCGCATTCCTTTGCCCCAACCATCGCCGCAGCAACCGCCTTTCACCACCACTGTAATATCCCTAATTTTAAAAGAATAGTCTCCGGATTTATTTAATTGTTTTATTGTATTTTTAATTGATTATTTGATTACGTGGTTAATTGTTTATGTGTTTAATTGAAATAATTATTTAATTAAATTGTGTGCTAATTGATGTATATTTAATTATTTAAATGTTATGTGTTTATTTGTATTTTAGTTGTTTATTTTCTATTATTTTATTTTAAAAGGAGTTGGATTTGGATAGTAGTAATGAACTAACCAATTGGGTTACATGAACTACTTGGATAGTAGTCTAAATGGGTACGAATATATATTTATTATAATTTTTTTCGGCAAGTAAGGTATGGATATTTACCCATAGATAGTTGTGTATATAAGGATAGTTTTATTATAACTATTATTATTATTTGTATTATTAATAGTAATAACATTATTAATATTATGGGATAGTTAGTATTATATAATAGTATATATATATATATATATATATATATATATATATATATATATATATATATATATATTGTTAACAATGTTATTAA